TTTTTTGACATCAAAAATTGTTCCAGTTCCGTTTTACGGGGAGTTGAAAATGGGGCGTAGAGCTATAAAATTTTTTCAGCGACAAAAAACACTTCTTTTTAGGACACTCAACAACATCTCTGATGGCTTTGCGACTTTTCCGATATCTAATCCAACAGAATTTAGGATCCAGATGTTGAAATGGCGGAGCTTCCAATGTTACCGGATATAGCACCAACAGAGGAGGAGAATATAGAGCGATTGATGACGCGCACACTGTTAAGCCAGAGCGAAATTGAGCATGTCCGAGGTACGGCATTTTCATTCGCTGATTTGGAACATCGAGAACAACCCGGCTTCCTTCCTCCAGTTTCGTGCAAGTAATTGGAAAATGGGCGATAGTGAGAGATCGCCCCTGTCACCCTTACAGCCTGCGCAAACACCAAACATCAAATGTGGGAAAAGCACAAAACATTTATAAATACAAAAAACAAAGAGATTCCAAGATCACGGCGGCGATAACCGCCGTCACAAATGTTTTGAGGATGTCTTTATCACGACACATAATCATCAAAGCGCACATTCCTCGGCTTCGCCAACAGCAATCGCTTGGACAATCGATATGGGAACTGGACGTTTTTGGTGTTACTGGAATGTTCCCACATCTTTGCTCAGCTTGCTGGACCCTTAGTGTCCAATCTGCATTCCCGCTTATACCACAGTACTTGAGCACCCTCTCCCTGGTGGCTATTTGTCGCATATCATGATATTTGTATTCAACGATACATTGTTATTATTATTGGTCAAATGCTGATTTTTTTTTTCAGCTGTTTTGCTCAAAAAACCTAATGGCGTTCATCAGTGGAATTGCTTTTGCAGAAGACGCAAATTGTTTGCTTCTGTTTTACCGGTAAGTTTTAAATCTCTCAGCGCTGATTGGAAAAAAGCTGTGTTTTCATGAAAATCATTTGCAGTTGGGAATGAAATTGTGTTTAGAAACAAGGCAGTCATTTAGCATTCTTTTTTTTTGGCCTTAAAACTAGAACACATTCAAATTATCACTTTAAATTTTTAGCCGGAAATGCCACCCAGTGGAGAACTGGTCGATGAGACAGATATCTGGGCGTTTAATGTACTGAAGCACAGTAAAATACCCAGGAAATCTTACGACATTATGCCGACCTCAAGTAAATGTTCAGGTGAGCTCAGACTGACCGTTATAAAAAAGTCATTAGCAAATTAAAAATTACTGAGGTTTATAACAGGCACACGAAATTGGATTGTTCACCTCGAATTTTCACCTTTTTCCTCAAAAAAAGCAGCCATTTTTGGTGGCGATCGTTCATCGTCTCCCTAATTCCATCTCTGTTGTTGTTGGCTTTCCTAAACCCTCTATAAGCTAAAGGAGGTTTTTTTCCCGCAATTGATCGATAATCATATTCACTCAAATAAAATCACTTCTGACTTTGAATATTTTTGTTTTTCCAGGTAATGGTAGCAGAGAGGACAAACCCCAAGAAGTGGTTATGTCACTATTCAACAGGTTGGTATGAACTGTTCTATTTAATCAGATGAGCAATATTTTCGTAATATTTGCTTGGAGGGTGCAAGAGGGAGGGAGGTAAGAGATGAGGGCGGGAATATGAAGAAGTAAATTTCCTATCCTGAAAGCGAAGCAAAACGGAGCTTGGTGAGGATATTTTCTGTCTTTCTACGGATCAAAAAATTTAAATTCAAATTCCGTGTACGTTTACGTACGTCTCACGACACGGATAAAGAAGATTCGGGGTGGGAATTTATTAGCATCGTTCAGGCTTCGCTGAACAAACGTATGGGAAACGTCAACCACCTTATGTGTGCCGCTGTTTGTTTATTCGTTTCTTTGAAAAGTACTGGGATTTTTTTTTTTTGCAGCGGTCAGCATAAACGGGAAACGTTATCCAAGGATGAATGTCGAGAGTATGGCGCTGAGCATGATGAACATGTTTTAGAAACAATTTCGGAATTTGAAAATCGTTGGAATATTTCTGCGTGCGAAAGGTTTTTAGTGCTTTTTAATTTTTCCCCATATTTGGTGATGGTGGTTTCGAGTAGCAAATTTAACTTTCATGTATAATTCATATTTTTTGTAAGCGATTCCCATGTAACAGTCAGGAGGAGGGGACGGCTAGGCTTGGACGGAAAAGTGCTTAAAACAAACACACCTTTTTATAAGTATGGGAGCGAAAATCAAAACAAAGAAAAACACAAACCAGGAAATCACCCGGCAGCAGCTCCAAACTGCTACCGGGAAAAAAGCAGCATTCGAGGCTGCAGCAGCTCCAAGCCGCCGCTGCACACCTCTTAGGGCCAAAAAAACAATTTTCAAATTCATCTCTAATCAGCACATTAAATATCACGAAGGGGGGAGGGGGGAGGGGAGGGGGAACTCGAGTCAAAAGAGGAGCCTTTCGCATATACAGGGAACCGAAAGGTAACTGGGCAAGGCGAAGAGGGTTTAGCCTCCATTTTCGTTTCCTTGCTACTCGCTCCTTCTTTCTTTTGCAACACCTGCATGAGAACGACTCTTGTTTTAATACTAATTGAATGCCGAAGTCGCTGTAAAAGAAGTGAAAATTAAATTCCATAAATTTAAAATAGTGTGGTGCGAAAAAAGTTTATCAAGGCGGGTTCAAAACTTGGGGACTGGTTACAAAAAAAAAGGTCATTCGTTGAAATGCTAAATTGCACTGGAAGGAACCAGGCTAAAAATGCTAAATTCACTGCTTAAGCGCCATGATTTGACGTAGAAATAGAAGAGGCATCTTCTTGGCCAAACTTATTTTTGCGCAAGAAGCACCGCCAGTTTGAGTCAAAGGTTTAAATGTTTTAGGATGTTGCCGAACGAAGCAGTTGAAAGTGTTCAACGCCTTTTGCAACTGCCTGCAGGGCTTGACCGTGTTGTAGCTGGCACGTCAGCAACAGCGTTTGATTCACTCACATCACCAACACGAACAATGGAACCACCTCCAGCACCGTCATCAATTTTGAAAACGAAAAGCGGATTCTTGGGCAAGCGACTTGCTGATGCTTCTGGTGGTATCTTTTTTTTCTTATTGAAATAAAAATTTTTTCCGTAGATCTGTATTTTTGTAGACGCTACGCTTAAGCTGTTTTTTTTCCCTCCATCATTTTATATCATAATATTATAATATTTCATTTTTATGTGTTTTTTTTTTTTGCGTTTATACAGTGCAAAAACGCATATTATCAGTGGGTTGTCTGTGTGTATGCGTCTGTCTATGTGTTCATCTGTACCGATTTTTCATCTCGAGACCTACAAAAGCTACAAGGCTGAAACTTTGGGAACATAATCTACATGT